TATATATACCATCTGCCGCTGCCTTACTTTTAAGCGGACCAGGTGAAGCAGACCATAGTACACACCTAGCGAAATCCCGCTTCTTAGAAATGTCAGCTTCAATGCGACTAGTAGTGCGCATTTTTCACACAGTTCTACCAAACCCGACTGTTCCACTATATCACACTAAACTGCTCACAGCAGTTTAGTTTAGTCTTGGACCATTTGGTCCAAGAATTTACCGTTGGTTTGTGGTAAAACTGGTGTGATGGTGACGCTGATAAAAAAACGATCATTGTCATTTTTCGGCAAAAGTTGGAAAGAAGTGGTCATCGAAGCAAGTTCTAGTCTGATATAGTCCCAAACGTGATTCCCCTAAGCCAGTGAAATGTAAGATTGATCGAATATGCTGAGCAACCGGACCACCAACTGATTACCGAGATTAGTTGGACTGGCTTTAGAAAGAATGTGACAACTGTTCGCATTCGGTGTTAGAGAAATTAGGGGTGTTATCTGCACTCTTGTACAAACACTTATCGTAAACTCTTCCTGTATGAGTTGGGTGGAGTTTCAAGTACATCACGCAGAGATCAACCAGACTTTCAATGAATCCATCGTCTGCCAGTCAGTGGGTATTTTCGCATCAAACCTACGAATTCCCCTCTGAGAGCGTTTACCTAGCTATTTCTTCCACATGACTTTGGCTTTGAATCTTATCATTTTCCTAACCTCTTCCTTTTAGTCCATCATACAAGCTGCAGTGGTTGAAAAGAACGAACTGGCTATCGTAGCTCTACACTCTGCACAGATTGCCCTCAAACTGAGTGCTCCTATGCAGCGAAAACCATTTGGAACTTGATTTGGCCTGACTAAATCAGATCAACTTTGCACATATGTATGAGTTTTTCATTGTAAATGAAGAGCACTTATTTGGCATGGACTTCACTTTGGGTTTGTTTCCTCGGGGTTGGTCTACCTTTTCAACCAACTGCATTTTACGTCCATTCAGTTGTGGAAACTGCACTGGGTCTGTAGAGCCTCTTCAGGGCTGCTGTTCATTAGTAGACCTCGTAAGTAAGTGGGTTAAACTACTCTGGCATGCTCTATTGAACCTACTAAACGTAACTCTTGACATGGTTTATCGCCGCAGGTTAGGCAGAGGAGATTAAACAGTCGTACGATATCACTGAATAGTGTCACGCTGACAATTGTGAAGCTTAGGTCTTCGTTTCTCTCCCTCTAAATTTACGCACAAGATCATACAGTGAGGAGATGCTTCTGATAGGGAATTCCCATAACTTTCTGGCTCCAAGGTGATCCGGCACCTGTTGTTTCGGTTCTCTTAGTTTCTGAAACATTCGAACTATTCTCTATCCATCAAAATGTTTTCAGATTCTTAAGAGCCGTATCTCACTGAACTACTCGACAGATACACTTAGTTGCATACCAGCTTGGTTTCCGCGCTAGATTCATCTGAATCCCAGCTGAAACTCTCATCTGTATGTGGGCTGTCGAAGGGTTTTCAGCAGTGCCACGAGCAGTGAGTTGCTTGTATTATAATAATTCAAATACTGTTAAAACGTCAATGCTGAGGCGTTCTTTGGAGTTATTGAAAAAATGCAGCAGAATTAAACGTGGTTAATTTGTCTTCGAGTCGTCCTCTCTATTGTGTGCCTGGTTCCCGTAAAATCCAGAGCAACGGCCTGACTTAGTGACACTTCTCTCTCTGTCTTTCTTCTCTAGAGGATAGTGTGGGCTCCCTACTCCCAGGACTGAGCCCTTAGACAGCTATTTAGTTTGAGTGTCGTAGGTGCATACATCTCAACGAAATTGACGTGGTTTTAAAGTCAAACATTGGCGTTGCTGTCACTGGTTATGATCGTGGTTTCGCTCGGCAATTTTTCTTGTACATATCCTTAGACCGAATTATCCTTGCAGTGACAGCGAAAACTAGGGGGAACTAGGTTAATTTTACAACTCGTGCCCTCTCGCCCATCGTTCCGAAAACAGCAAATTCTGTCACGTTACTGCTTCTAAGCGCGATCGATCTCGAACTCGTTAAACTCGTGGTATATTTCTTCGCGCTACAAAATTACCAAACCCGGTCCTCGTGTTGGAGTATCAGTGACGTGAGAAGAATTTGCTATTACGCTCATGTTAATAAAATGAGAATTGCTAGAATGCCCCAGAGGGAATAGCATATGCAGGGCCGATGTCGTTTCAGAATAAGTATTCTTGGCTCGTGAGACCTAGCAAAAGCATCTCCTGATGCCATAACTGTTTCAGGAATAGTGTCAAATTTTGTCATCGAAACTCGGTGTGATAACGAGCTGTAAAAAAGGGCCGTGCAAAGTTATGTGACAACGTGAAATGCTGTTACCAAACACAAACAGTCCGCCCTCTGCCGCGTCGTCCTTGTACAGAGGCCTGAAATTATAGCTTTTCGTTCAAGTTTACGCCGATACCCTTACAGGATACCTAGACTTCTATGTTTGTCATTGTTCATACCACGTCCCCCCGACGGCTGCCTGTCAGGACGCGCCTCATGTGAGGTATACGCTGAATACTGAGTGGTATTCTTACCCTCTTCTCCTTTCCTCACGTAACCTGGACACCGGCGTAGAACTGCCCACAACAGGAATGTGGACTAAACCCTATCGATCCAACAGTAAAGTCCAGCTAATCGGTCACAACGGTTTGTGTTTATGTCTATTTTATTTCATTTGACTGGTTGCTACTGTGCTGGATCAGACTACAAAAAATTCGAAAAACAAGCCACTATTCGCGATCGTAGTGGTTGAACGTACATGGCGAATGTAGGCCTTCCCGATTTTGTTTTGGAACCGAGTCAGAAGTAATTGTTTTCTTGCGATGGCTACCATGGCTGGGATCCTACCGCCGCGCACATCCGAGATTTCATGGTCAAGATACTCGAACACACCATCACAAATAAAATGGTCCTTACCATGGTGTGATGATTTGTTTGCTTCCGTGAACCATTGGACTCAAGTGCTTTAGACTCTTACACCAAGTTGGTCAATGGTTAGAGGTCTGACGAACCCAGTCTCCTCATCCTCTGGTTGGATTTTGGACCGTGCTGCGACTTGTTTTATAAAAATGTAAATGTACTTGCATTTCCCGCCAAACGCCGCTGCATTGGGGGTCGAGTTTTTTATCCGATCGCTGTGGTCGAGGACCCTAATCGTCCTCCTGTCTAGGTGTGGGCGCCCTGGCGGTATCTCAGCCCATATACAACGTGATACAATTAAAAATGTTCTCTTTTGCGTGGTACCTCACCAGCAGGGTCGCCTTACCTGCTGCATACAGCAGTGCGATTAAGCGAAAAGTGCTACTTTTTACGCATGCTTTCTTACACGCTCGCGTACTCCCTCTTTAGCCGTAGTCTTTTAGCAGCTCGCGGCACAAGGATAACGTACTTTGTTCATCGTACACCATTCAGTGTAGGTTCTGTGTGTTGACATCAGTAACAACTCTAGACATTTCGAAATCTGTTTTGAACCCGGAAAATCGGCCTACCTGACTATCTTTAAGGTTCGCATACTGAATCAAGCAGGAAAACTGCTGGCTCTTGCTCGTACTTTGGATTCCCTGTGCGTTTAAGTATACTGTCTACCAGAAACAACAATCTAGGACAAGCAGTGTAGGTGAACCGACTACCCCTCGCTCTCTTCCAGGTTCCGGCTGCGCACCTCTGGTGCTGCTTCCCTACACAAACTGATGTTCAACAAGGATGTTTACTGTCTTTACAACCTTGCTGTTCAAATCGTTGCTGGTGAGAGCCTTCTCGATCTGGAGTGCGCAGATGACATAACCTTTTTAAGACCAAGATGACGCACAAACTCTTGAATAGACTGACCATCAGCATACCATCTTTTGGTATGCGCCTTGCACATTCAGAGTGTAAAGTCATGCTTCAGGTGCAGTCTGTGAACATGTCCCTTACAATTCGAGGAGAAGCACTGGAGGTTGCATTAACTCTGACCGAAGTGTACCTGATGAAGTCAGTGCAAAGACCAGAATCATGTTTACTACTATGCGTCACTTGTGGCATCAAAATGGCATGCCACGGGATCTTAAGGGTTGCGTGTACCAGGATACAGTAGGGGCCATATTGTTGTATGGCTACGAGACGTGGCCTATGCGGATAGATGATGTGGGGCGTCTTCAGGTTTTTTTACCACCGATGCCACAGAACAGTTGCTGGCATCGAATGGTATCAACGGAATAGTGACGGGTATTTAGTTGTGCTACAGGTACTTCAGTCTCGGAAAACATCCAGCACCATCAACTACGGTGGCTTGGTCATGTGATACTCATATTCATCATCCACCGAGATGAGCGTCGCTCTCCGTACCTCCTTCAAAATGGTACAGACTTGGAGGTGGACAAAGTATGGCTTGGCAAAAGGGCTCAGGTGCTATTGGTGCTGTAGGCCTTCCAGGGTAGCATGATGCAATCCGACAAGTGCGAAACGCGTAAACCAAATCAAGAGAGGCTTGACGTGGGGAATTAAGGTCGCGCGTCTACGTGAAAATAGACCGCCTGCTATTTCATTAACGAGCCTAGATTCTAATGAGCTACGCAAATGAATGTGTTTGATTGCAATCGAGACTAATGATAATTTGCCAATAATAAATGTGCTCATGAAAGCGCCCAAACGCGCCATTATTCATACTTTGCGAAGTTAGTTACAAGACAATGTCAAGAATGACTGTGCCTTATTCAAGTCGGATCAGTGTACTCTCAAGCTTTTGTTCTACCGGGGCCTCCTCGATCATGGCCTCCTGGTGCATTGCTATGATACCAGTTTACTCCAGCACCTTGAGAGCTCCTAAAATCACACTGCGTGCTTCATAAACTTTGAAAGTGCAAGCGTAAAAACGTAAGTCGGAATACAATTAACTTTTCCCCTAATAGCTTCTCGTTGGAGCCGATCGAAACAATTCACTTTCGAAGGTCATCCCGGTTTTAACCTTCCCTATACAGTACCTTGTCCCGTACACTCATTTCAGATGTTTCTGAAAACCGTTTCTAATACTTCTTTCTTTACTATCTTGTGAGTGCTATTGTTCGAAAGAGAGCTCTTCCTTTTTTGCTGGGAGTCTTTATGTAGAGTAGCCATAGAAGGCCAGTAGTACTCTTTTATTGTCGAACTACCCAACTGCATAAAGACACAGAATGACTCTTAGAAGATTGACGAAAGCACTCAAATGTCACAAAGTCGGGCACCCATCACGATCCTTTGAGAAGCTCGCAATTGATGACTACTATGGGTGTTGACGACAAAAGTGAAGTAGAGTGTAAACCACGTGTGCCAAGAACAGTGTGCACAAATACTCTGCGGGCAGTAAGAAGACTCGACTCCTTACTATTGTTACCAAGGCGACAAACCGTTGTATCGTGGGTGGCCATCTATTGGTTTCGCCGGAACTGAGTCTTGACAAACTGTTGTATCGTGGGTGGCCGTCGCCGGAACTGAGTCTTCCAGATTGCGCGATAAGGGGAACACACAGAAACCATGACATGGTGTATTCTCGGGACAACGTACAAAGCCTCTGCATGAATACATAGGATGATTAAATGATCAATTATTGTCGTTCGCTTGTTCGTTCTACCTGGCCACTGACGAAGTTGCTGCCGAGAGCAACTCCACACTCACTCCACTGATCATTTGCTGCTAAGCCGTTTTTGGTAAGCTCCGCCAACGCACCTACTATCCGGAAGGTGTAGTATCAATGGTGACCTTGAGCACGCATCTTTCCCTGGACATGCTTTTTCTCATGTTTGGACGTGTCCCGACACAAACACACGGAGGATGGCATGGCATTGTGATGAACTCATTTTGTGTACATCCCGACCGTAAAAAATCAAGTTAGTTCACTCATCTCGAAGCGCCCCTGTTGACTTGCAGCCT